GACCAGGTTGGCCTTGAATTCAGAGATCTGTTTGCTTCAGCTTCTGGAGTGCTGGGATTTAAGGCTTGTGCCACCACCACCTGGCTCAATTTAATATTATTATTTACTATTTTTTAGGAACATGCTCAGGGTAAATTAATTTCTAACATCTTTCTAATTTCTACTCCAGTATAAATTTTTTCAAAGTAAGTTTTCAAAGGGTGATACATTTAATCTAAAATTACTGTCTAGCCAGTCAGTGGTAGCTCATGCCTTTAATCCCAGCACTTGGGAGGCAGAGGCAGGAGGATGTATCTTTGAATGATAGAGACTGTTTAAAGTTAAACCAAGAGATTCCATAGTATCTTTACACAAAATTACAAACTCTCAAATCACCTAGTCATTCTTCCTAAGTGTAGTTCATGATAACATCATGTGCTGGATAGTTGACTTTATGTCAGCTTGACTAAAGCTAAAGTCTTCTGAGATGAGAGAATCTCAATTAAGAAAATGCTGCCATAAGATTGGTCAATAGGCAAGACTGAAAGGCATTTTCATAGTGATTGATGGGAGCAGGGCCAGACCACTGTGGATAGGGTCATCCCTGGCCTGAGAGACCTGGGTTCTACAAGAAACAGGTAGAGGAAGTCATAATCAGCACACCAGTAAGCAGCATTCCTCCAGGACCACTGACTCAGCTCCTGTCTCCAAGTTCTGAACTTGTTTGAGTTCCTGTCCCGATTTCCTTCAATGTTAGACTACAATGTGGAAGTATAAGTCAAATCCTACCTTGCCCCAAATTGCTTAGATCTTGATGTTTCATCACAGTGATAGTAACTCTAACTAAGACACATCCTAAAATTTCTCTTTTAATAATCAGGTCTTTGAATAGCACTGTAGGTTTAGAGCAGCAATTCTTTTTTTTTTTTTAATTTTATTTTTTCGAGACAGAGTTTCTCTGTGTAGCCTTGGCTATCCTGGAACTCACTCTATAGACCAGGCTGGCTTCAAACTCAGAAATCTGCCTGCCTCTGCCTCCCAAGTGTTCGGATTAAAGGCATGCACCACCACTGCCGGCTTAGAGCAGCAATTCTTAACTAATGGGTTGTGACCCCTTTGGCAAACATTTGTCTACCAATATACTTAACTCATGATTCATAACAGTAGCAAAATCACAGTTATGAAGTAGCAACAAAATCAATGTTAGGGTTAGGGGTCACCACAACATGAGGAATTTGTGCCTATGTACACACATTGAGAAAGCGTTTATGTATATGAAAAAATTTTGATGAAGTACATTTGCAGTTATTGTATTTACATAATATGACTGTCATCACATGAGTAAACATGCACACCCTGATTTCTGTATTCTCCTTCTGGATTTGGAAAACTAACGTTATTAGAATATTGTTTTTCATTGTTTAACAAATAAATTGAAAAATGCTAATGGAAACTTTACCTTGATCTCTTTTAACTATACTTAGGAAAAAAAAACCATAGGCTCCAAGGATAAGAGTTATTTGACAGGCTTTTTTAGAATTCTTGTAAACTGGCTCCTGCAGAACCCAGAAAATTGATCAAACATACACTACAGGACATGTGTAGACAAGATAATATGAATACTCAGGGGATATATACTTTTTTAATCCTTAAAGGTTCTATACTTGGAACAGATTTTGGTGTCTAATTATACATTTTTGAAATGTAGGAGTGAGACAACAGAAAGTTAAAGATGTGACTGTAGCCAATGGCAGAGCTGCGAAGGGCAAATATCACAGACACTTCCTGCCACTATTTCAATAGTTCTCTCTGAGAAGCTACTCAGAGCAGCTGCAATGAAAATGTATGGGGATGGGATGCCAATAGAGAAACTCCACTTTTAGTGTGCAGAAGTGTCTCAGAGGTTGGCCTTCACACCTCTAACCATAAGGTAGCTGTTCTGCTGTAACCATTGTGTAGGTGCCCTGCTCTATAACCATCATACAAGTTCATAGACTCATCAGATAGATGATAAGGAGAGTGCCCTGCTCATCATCAGGTAGGTGTCCTGATCTAAGTATAGCAGCACTGGCTTTCTGGATGCTTAGATTAATTGTAAAGTTACTAACTTTTCCTGTATGATCAGGGCTCTGGTTTATAAAATAAGGATGACATGTCGAACTAGAAATGTCACAGTACAATCAATGAGGCAATTTAGTGGAAGTAGACGTTGCTATCTCCAAGGTAAAACAGTAATGGCTTTTTATACCCTTTGCTGTTTCCAGAGTTCCAAGAGATAACCAACATTAAAGATCATGAGGTCCTAACAGTTCTAACAAAGTGTCAGTTGACTCTACATCAGAGGATACATTCAAGGACCAGACACACTATTTATTATTACAAAAGGTGAGGATAATGATAGATAAGGTAAGAGGAAAGGAAGCTCTTCATGGCCATGTTGATCATGGTGCTGCTTGGTATAAGGACTGGTATTGGATCTGAATCCCCAAGACCAGGTTCTTAGCACAAAAAAGATTTATTTGCCCCAGAGAAACAATAAAAAACTAGAAGAGGAGATAGAGGATCAGGGAGAAGGGGAAGGGATCAAGGTAGACAGGGAAGGAGTATTAGTCCCAGAGTGGAGGACAAAGGTCTGCCTCTGGATAGAGGAGAAAAATGTGGCAGTAGGCATATGGCAGTTTATACAGGTACAATGGGAAACCCCATGTTATGATTTATTTATTTATTTATTTATTTATTTATTTATTTATATTTATTTATTTATTATTTATTATTGGACATGGTAGTTAAGTGATCTAAGAGGAGCTTTTTGATTGCGTGACTTAAATATTTTTATAGCTGGACCTTGATAGTCAGCCTTAGGAGGGGGAAGTGACCAAATAAGAGAAAAGGACTTGGTGGCTAGCTTTATTAATGTAATTTTATATTGTTTTTTTTAAAGCAAGGCAAGGGGAGTAGGTAGAAGCTCAAGGCTTTCCTTAGCCATGTAGTCCATGCTTGAGCTGGCTAGAGTCCCTTCACTAGGCCTCTGTTAGGCAGCATCATTGTGATGTATGGTCTATCACACAATGTGGGGCAGAGTCCTCCTGAATTCAGTAGTGAAATTCCAACCTCAGAGTGTAATGCGGAGACATTGGCTTCCATACTTCTAACCAAAAAGTAGGCGCCCTGCTCTAACCATTATACAGGTATCCTACTAAACCCATCAAGTAGATGCCCTGGTCATCATCAGGAGAGTGTCCTGCTCAACATCAGGTAGGTGTCCTGATCAAAGTATAGCACCACTGGCTTCCTGGATGCTTAGATTAATTGTAAAGTCACTATCCTTTCCTATACCCATTAGGGCTCTGGTTTCCACAATATGGAGGATTTGCCAAACTAGAAGTATAGCAGCATAACCAATGAGTCTCTGTAGAGGAACTAGAAGTTGCTATCCTAAAGGAAAATCACTGTTGGCTTTTTATATCTTGTCCTGTTCCCAGAAGTCCAAGAGGCAAACATCCAACACAAAAGGTCATAGGGTCAAACAGTTCTAACAAAATGTCAGTTGACTACACATTGGGGATCCTTTCAAGGGCCAGGCACACAAAACATTTCATGCTACAGTGAGGTGAGGACTATGATAGATAAGGTGAGAGGGAAGGAGACTCTTCATGGCAATGTTGATTATGGTGCTGTTAGGTATAAGGACTGGTATTGGATCTGAATCCCCAAGACCAAGTTCTCAGCACAAAAATATTTATTTCCCTCAAAGATAACAGAAGATAACAGAATAAGAAATGAAGAAAGGAGCTAGAGGAACAGACAGAAGGGGAAGGAAACAAGGAAGACAGAGAAGTGTTATTTGTCCCAGAGTAGTAGACAAAGGCCTGCCTCTGAAAAGAGGCATCAGACATGGCCCATAAGCAAATGACAGTTTATAAACATAAACAAGGGGAAACCCCATATTACAATGAGGTATTTAATATTGGTTGATTGGATATATTAATTGGGCAAACTAAGGTGGGTTTTTTTTTTTAATTTCTGGGCTTCAATACTTTGATAGCTGGACCTTGGCAGTCATCCGCAGGATGAGGAATGGCCAAATAGGGGAATAGACCATGGTACCTAGCTTTAGGAATGTAACATATGTTTTTTTAGCAAGGTAGAGGAAACATGTAGACTGGTAATTCTTGCCAGAATCATATAGGTCATGCTAGAGCTGGCTAGAGTCCCTTCCCTAGACCTCTGCTGGACAGCATCTCTGTGGCATAAAGTCTAGCTCAAAATGTGGGGTGGAGCCTTTTACTAAATGCATCCCTGGAGCTGTCTGTCACTAGTGAAATGCCACTGTCAGAGTGCAGTATAGTCATAGAACTTGACTTTCACACCTCTAACCATAAGGTAGGTGACCTGCTCTAACCATCATTTAGGTGTCCTACTCTAAATGTCATGAAAGTATCCTAGACCCATCAGGTAGACACCCTGTTCATCATCAGGTGGGTGTACTGCTCATAATTGTGTAGGTGTTCTGATTGAAGTGTAGCAGCAGTGATTTCCTGGATGATTAGATGAATTGTGACAGTATTATCTTTACCTATTCCTATTAGAGCCTGTGTTCCCAAATTAAGGAAGGTTTGTCAAAGAAGAAATGTTGCAGTGATGCCAATGTGACTGTTTAGTGGAACAGACATTGTCTTCTTAAAGGCAAACCACCGGAGGTATGTAGTTTTTTCTGCTTGCCCCAGAGTAGAGGACTACTTTCCTCTTCACAGCTAGAACCTCAATAAGAAAAGGGAGACCTTGCCCAGGAATTAGCAAGACTGAGACTAGGAAAGGCACAGGCTTCTCGGATGTTTTCCCTAGTCTTTGAGTATCTTAGCTAGAATGATTAAGCTTAGCAAAGACACAGGTGGTTCTCAGTGTGATTCAAATCTCAGACAAACCATAGCAGAAGAAATACTTTCTAAAGATATCTATATCCCAGACAGGGAGAAGAAACATGCAGTTCTTTGAAAACGGATCAAATGTAAGAAGACAAAATGGCCAACCGCAAAGATAGGGTGTCTGATGAGAAGAAGATATGCATAGCTTCGAAATTCATTAACCAAACCCCTCCAGGGGAGCTTAAGGAACTCTGCCATGATATTCGGCGGCTGGTTAATAATGACAGTCTCCTCAAAAAAGGGATAGGGCAGGCAATTGCTCAATATAACATGCACCAATTCATACCAGTGAAGATAGAAGGGTATAAAGATCATGCTTTAGTCACAGAGCATGGTCATCTAGGTAACAACAGATTTTTAGATCCAAGAAATAGAATTTCTTTCAAGTTTGATCACTTAAGAAAAACAGCAAGTGACCCCCAGCTAAGGCTTACAGATAGAAATTTAACACGTTTGAGAGATTGCTGTGATAGGGCTTTAAGAGCCTATATGGAACAGAATTATTCTACTGGCTTTAGTACTGTTTATGGTAAAACTATACATGGCAAAAAGACCATTATCGCATGTATTGAAAGTCACCAGTTTCAGCCCAAAAAATTCTGGAATGGAAGCTGGAGATCACAGTGGAAGTTAACCATCACGCCACCTACAGCTCAGGTAATTGGAATGCTCAAATCTCATGTTCATTATTATGAGAATGGAAATATTCAGTTAGTTGTCCATAAAAATATACAAGAGTCATTAACTGTTTTCAGTGAAGATCAAACTGCGAAGGTGTTTATTAAGATCATAGAGAAGGTAGAAAATGGGTATCAGGCAGCAGTTAATGAAAACTACCACGCAATGTCACATACAACATTCAAAGCCTTGCTCAGACAGCTTCCAATTACATGCCACAAAATCGACTGGAACAAGATACTTACCTACAAGATCTGCAAAGAACTCAAGTTTAAACCTACTTAATGGCCCACTGTAGCAGTCTCTAGTATGTGTGAGCATAAACGATTCAACAGGGTCTGCTCATAAAACAAATATGAGAGTGACTTATTAAGAAAGTTAACGGATCTAGCATCATGGGCTATTGCTGAACCTATAACACTGTTTTGATTCATTTATGTATTCTCTGCCTTGTTGAATCAAATATCTATGTCACTCTCAAATTCTTGTTGAATCAAATACCCATGTCACTCAAAAATTGGAATAAAACAAAGTGAAAAAAAACCTTCCAAGCAATGTCTTTCTATTACAACCAGGTATTTCAGAGAATGCTAGCATTATTTTTCTTTCTTTTTTTTTGTTGTTTAAAAAAAAAAACAGGATGTAGACCTTTTTTTCTAAACAGGTTGTAAAACTCATTCCTCCATCACCCTGCCCACAAAGAACTCACATGTAACTATGATTTAACAATCTTCCCAGATTCACTGGCAGGTATATGTGTGATATTTTGATGATCAGGCCTTAAGGGAAGGTCAGGGGTGTTTGGTTTTTTTTCTTTTGTTTTGTTGTAGTATCTGGTGTTTTTATTCAGCTTTCGTTTGGCTCAGTAAATCTGTTAGCAAATAAAACCTGTGTAAGCATTTTTATTTCAAATAAAATAAGTTTTTATTGCTATTGTCATTTATGCTATCTATTCATGCCTCTATGTTGGGTGGTTCAATAGAAATGCACACAATTGTAGACCTCCATAAGTGATGGCAAAGATACAGTTTTTTTTTTTGCACCTGACCACCAGCAATTTGACCATGTTCCAGTGAATATATGGGCAATACATATTAGACTTGTTTCTTCTTTATCTTCTTGTTGTTCTTTCTGCTGCTGATTCTCATTCTCCTCTTCCACCTTCAATGATTCTCATCAGGAAATCAATCCATTTACTTCAAGGGGCATAACAACTATGTGTAAATAAAGGATTTCTTTGTCAGAAACAAAATGGGGGAATAGTAATGATCTCTTGTCTTTGATAATAATAGTCCTCTAAGATAAGAATTTTATCATTAATTTTTTTTTAAAAAGGAAATTCCCTGTTTATATAAGGGGAGGTGCTGATACTAAGGTCTAGTTCCCTAATTGGTTCTTGATTTGTCAATAAAGAAGGCCAGGGGACAATTGGAAAGTACAAGTGGAACTCTTGGATCCCAAGAGGAAAAGGAGATGCAGGGAAAGAGAGAGGGCTTTTTCTGCCATGCTTTGGAAGGAGAGGAAAGCTGCAGTCAAATAAGGTAGAGTCTGCAGCCTCTGCTATGGGCGGGGGCCAAGGATGTTGGTGGGGGCTAGCTGATGAAAGCCACTAAGTTTAGTGCAGAGGGAGAGATGGAAATAATAAATTGATAAGGGCACGAATTTCCAGGCAGGCGGTGTCTGTGGCTAGCAATTGTGCCACGAAAGGCAAGCTGTAAAGTGACAAGCTGAGTGTGTGTCCTCTATCTGCGCATTAAAGGGTATCAGGTTGGGCTGGCAACATGACAACATGACCCCTCCTGGAGAGGTCGACCCCTGGAGCAAAGGCAGAGAGAGAAGGGGGGAGGGGAGGGCAGGGGAGGGGAGGGGGAGAGAGGGGAGGGGGAGAGAGGGGAGGGGGAGAGAGGGGAGAGAGGGGAGAGGGAGAGAGGGGAGAGGGAGAGAGAA